TCTTTACCCCCCCCCCCCCCCCCCCCCCCCGCCTCTGTGTTAGAACGTGTCCCTCACCAGCAATAAATCATTTCTCAGTTCCATTGACGCTGCTAATAAAACTTTTATCTCCATCTCTCTCTCTCTCTCTCCCTCCCAATCGCATGCATTTATATCGGCACATTTCCCTTTTTCTGATTGTGCCTCACTCTTTTGTTTTAGCACACAAAATAACAATATATGTATAGGATTTGTTCACATTGATTTCAATCTCATTTCAAAGGTATTGCTTTCCTCTTTCACGCTCTGACTTCAAACTACCATGACCCCACTGTATGTCATATTCGACTACTTTCACAGTACTCATCCACCTTTTTTCCACCTTATCTACCTTCGTCTTTGATGCNCCCCCTCTTGAATTTTTTACACTTTGATGTTCCTTCCCCTCTGTGAAGACTGAAGTCAACTAATGGGCTAATGATAACAATCAAAACGCCTGCCATTTGATATAATAATAATAATAATAATGTTTAATGCTGTTTCAAGCACGCAGTCCAAGGCACTGATAACTCGCTCTAGATTTTGGACTCCGTTAGAGTTATGAAAAATTTGTCATTCTGAGTGTGGCTCTCTGTGTTCACTTTTCTTGAACCCCCTCCCCCCCCCCCCCCCCCCNCCCCCCAGGTCATTTAGATTGCACGAGTTCTTTGCTTTATCTTCAATATTTCATTCTAGTTAGCCCATGGCTCGTGATGTTGAAAGGGCAGTCTGTGTATCGGCCCAGCAAAATGCTGCGAAGCAAAGCGTGTCGCCTTTGCTTCGTAAAAGCCCTGACTGGTGTTAACAAACTTTCTAGTCTTACCTTTTGCACATCTTCCTCTGTTTTTTATCTTTCTTTGATGATGTTGTTGCCCGATATGCGGTTTTATTTCTCTAGGGTCTTCTTTTATATATATATATATATATGTGTGTGTGTGCTTTGTGAAAAAAAACCCTACTTTTCATTTGTTGTTTAGCATTCTTTTGATGGTTTAAAATGGATTAAGCTCTTCCTTTTTTACGCAAATAGAAACAGAATCCTTAAATTCTGTGTTGCATTTTGATTTTCTTCTAACTTTATTTTTCGCTTCTCGCGGTGCCTTTAATCTTCCAATGTTTCCGTGGTATTTTGCGTGTAATTATTAATAATACCTAATGGATAGGGGGGGGGGTCATCACTCGATCTTCTTTTTTTTGGTCAAAAATTGTCAAAGACGCTTGAATTATTTATTTATTTATTTCAAATGGCAGACGATTTGATAGTCATCATTACCCTTTGGTTAACTTCGAACTTCACAGAGGGGAGAAACATCAAAGTGAGAAAAATTCAAGAGGGGGACCGAAGAGTGATTTGTAGATGTAAGACACAGGCAGACACAATGATAGAGAGTAGGGTAAGGTGAGTACCTTAGAGTAGTAGACTATGACATACAGTGGTGTGATGGTAGTTAGAAGTCAGAAGCCAACTTCCGGTTAATAGACTTTTTTGCCGTATGAGTATACGTTGCCCAGGGTGCACCACGTGGAGGTTAGTCTATCGCACACCCCTAATTGGAATATACCACCACCATAATTTCCTTCTAGCTCCAGAAATGTCTAATCTTCTAGTTTCCGCTGAGGAGCAATCTCGTGTTGTACTATCTTCAGTAATAGTAAGATGGGAATTAATTTTTTTTCGAACACACATTCTTGCCATTCGTCTACCGTCTTGTGTTTATTTTTAAGAGGTAGAAAGCAAGTATTGAGGTATTCGAAGCTTTGTCCTGTAATATGTGACATTGGAAAGGTTGACTATTCTGCGAGTTACTTCATTTTGAGGTTTGTTGATTTTTTCTTTGTCCCTCATTTCCTGCAGTTCTCGTGTGGAATCATTTCAATTTCTTCGCAGCATCTCCATTTACACCTCATAATATTTCTATTTCATGGTTTTGATTCAGCCGAATCATGAATTTCGCTTTTGCTATTTTTTGTACTTTCTTATGGTCGGATTAGACTTGCCCTTTTAAAATGGCTATATTTCTTGCAGTTTAAGAGGCTTTTATTAATTGTTTTTTTTCAGTCTTGCATTGACCTAGTCGCCAACTTCTGAATGGAATATATTCTCTTTTTGAATTTGTACTAAGCCTCTAATTAAGCTTTTGGCGTGTATAAATAGTTCCGACAAAGAACTTTTTCGAATAGAGTCTCTTCGGTTTTATAAATGCAGCATTCATTCATTGTTTTGCTTTAACAAACTTATCCATATCTGATTTGAGTTTATTTAAAGTTCAAGTTTGTAACCCCCCCCCCTCCCCCCTCCCATCCTACTGTCTATATTGAAAGGCTAAATTGGATGATCGCTTCCAGTTCTTCATTCTCAACCGATACTTAAATATGGCTCTTGCATAGTTCTAGTGGAAACTGGATGCTTCACATTCAAACAACATAATGTGGTCTATTTGCTTGTGAGGTGTATGGGTAGATCCATTACGGGTCCCGCAAGAGCTACAACTTGTTTCCGTTCAAACGTTTCTCCCATCAAACGCATATTTTCCCTCCCTATCTCTCTCTCTCCCTCTTTT